AAAAATAAGGCTGAATCAATTGGAGAAAAAGAGAAAATCCCAGGAAATAATTTTCCCAGTAAAGAGTTTCCATGAAGAAAATAGCAGAAAAGATTTAGTAAAAAAAATTAATACATCATGTAGATGAGACTAACATTAAAAACTTTCTTTCCATAAAAAAAAGCATTGCCAACCGAGGCGAAGCTAGCCTCGGTTGTTTGTCTTTATATGAAAATTTTCAATCTTACGCTCAACAACTTGTAGTATTTTATATTATATTGAATTGCAAATGCTTGGTGTTTTTGTGGTGAAAAAATGAGGCATTTCCCGCGAAATCTGAAAACTTTGCTACAGTGATGACTTTTGAATTTGATTAACTTTAATCAACTTACCACCAGTATGAAAATCTTCTGCGTTTTGTATGATAAAGTTGTCCTCATAAACATCTATTTCTACTAACTTGGCACCTCTGTGTGCACAGTAATCCTGTTTAAAGCAAAGGCATATTAATGATTTGGAAATAACATGTATTGCCCTGTTAATGGACTTAAATGGACTTAAAGGCAAACAAAGAAAACTGTGTTCTTTAAGGTATTCATTAACAAACAGGTAATAAAATAAAACTAGGGCATTTTAATGATCACTTAATATTAGAAAAGATTCTTAAATTTATGCTTTACAGAGTACTTTTTGTTTTGGTAAATTTTGTTTTGAACGTTTTAAGCAATAGATTCAAATTCCATTATCTGTTTGAATATCAAACAAACGTAGATAACTACGATTACTTTTATTTTAAGATTATCGTTAAGACATTCGTACACGCTGTCGTTTTCACTCATTTTTCAAAATATAGGGCGAGCTTTGAGTACTTAGCTTTTTTACCGTCAAAAGTTGCTTTAAAACAGTGAAAACTACTTCCGAAATGATGTCTATCAAATTTGCTATGTGTCTTAAAGTCAATCTTAAATCATCAAATATTACTTATTGAAATTTGGCAAACATTACAGAATTTGTTATATTTTTTGTTTGCAAAGACGGTACCCATATTTGATGCACATTATATAATAGCATCTATTAATTTAAAGAATAGATGCACTTATTTTACGAGGAAAACTTTGTTGCTGCTATATGAGTTAGGTTAGCTAGAATATAAATTAGATCGGGATCGGGATATCTCAAATTCTCCCTCTTTGCCCTTGATCCAAAAACGAAAGGTACACGAATTTTGTAGCAGACAGAACTTTTAAAAAAATATGCTTTCAATCACAATTGTTTCTAAATTATTTAATTGAATATTATCGGCAAATACCTGATTTGATGATTAGATGCATGGATGGATTATTCTTTTTTGGAAAAATGCGAGATTTTCTTGGATTGAATTTTCCAAAATTTGCTATGTCGGCATACATGTGGCGTAATTTGTATTAAAACTTGTTTATGTTTCAGTTTAACAAGCAAACATATACAAGATTAAGGAATATTTTTTATTATGTTTTTAAATTAATTATAATTGAAAAATAAAAATCCTGTATAAAAAGAATGGCTTAATATAGCAGTCAAACTGATCAAAACATTATAATCGGTGTAGATCAATTTTGGCAGGCTTTATTCAATTGAGCATTCTCAGTGTATACAACAACGGTATTTTTAAAATGCATTTTGCATTAAAGTGCATGAATTCTGTTTAAAACACAAAGGAGGGGGGCTCAGAAGCAAAGTTATAACAGTTACAGCTTTGATGATTAACAGGGAAACATCAAATATTATAAGTTACAAGGGTAATGTTGGCCATAAATCAGGCTTTATGTTATTATCATGCAGTAGAAGCTTATTTCCTATTTGGCGGATATTATGCCCTCCACAGTAAACAACACAATCAACCAACAGGACAAGCCAATGCTTTATTTCGAACTTAAAATGCACTCTTGAAATTAAATTCAGTGCTTCTCGAGTGTATAATAACTATTTGCCACTTGGTTCCTTTTGGCAATCACATAGATTTCATCAAATTTATTGCCTATCAAAGGTAGCTCAGTTGCTCTTGATGAGCTATATGCTAGTTATTTTTCTTTTTTTAATTAGTCATACAATGAATTTGACAGTATAAGCTGACTCGAGGGTACTCGCTTTAGCATTTTAGGGATAATTTATTCTTGTTCACGCATTCTTCACTTCTAAGGCTATTACCATTAGAAATAAAGGAATTGATAATTTTATTTATCTGGGGTTTGGGTAAATTAGGGAATTAGATTTGTAAATTAAGGAAAATGACTAATTGTTGCTCAATTCATGATAAAGAATACAATCTGCTGTATTCTATAACCAGTTGCTTAAATAATTAATTCTCTTCTTTTAGCTATGGTAAGTATGTAGGTGTTCTGTGCGACCCAGAAAAAAAAATAACTGGATCATGTAATATCAATTATTCTAATTCTCTCAACTACTGTCAAGGTTAATAAATAAAAGCCACTTTAAATAAAAGGGATTTGACAATTAACAAAATATACTGGTAAAAATATTGCGCCTTAATACTTGTGTTTACTTGAAAGTGTGTCTGCCTTTTTACACATATCTGCATTTTAAGTTTATCAGTGGATTCCTGTTTTCAGCTAAAGCATTTCTTTACATAAGTAGTTTTATTTAAAATAATTCATATAAGCTATTCTTAATAATTTTATTTTATTGGTTAGAGCTTAGAGTTCATGGAATACTTACATCAGATAGAATACTAAAACACCAGGGTTGAAAATATTACTGAAATTAACTTAGGACATACAAATTCATAATACATAAATAGGGGAGAAACATGCAATTCATTCAATTTTGGGGAATAAAGGGGAATTTTATTGCCCGACAATAAGTGTCTGACTCTTAGGTTGGAAATTGATGTCTTTGAGAAAAGTATAATTTGGATAGGATGTTGAGTAGAAAATTGTATTATGCACTAACTAGGGAGAGCTGCTATGGTGCTATCATGACATAGGAGTATAACAGATTTGGGAGTATTTACATGTATTAATAAGATTTATTATATCAAGATCCAGTGTACCAAGGTTATCTAGTCAAGTACACATAAATATAAACTAATCGTACATGTAGTATGGGTATTTTAATGACTTAGGCATAATTTTGGATCGGTTTCAGAATTTTCACAAAAAGCCAATTATTGATAAGCCAGAAGGCAATTATTTAAAGGACTTTAATTTTGGATTTGATTTCATTAGCACCACCTGTTTTAATATACAAAGATCAGGCCAATTAAGGTGATGTATTTTACAATGGCAATTTTCTTCGGTCTTAAGTATTGTGATCAGACATCTTAGCTTGATAAGCATGATATAAGCTCATAGATTTCATTCAAGATACATCAATCAGAGAGTAAGTTTAATTGCATTAATTATCCTGTATTCAACAAAACAGTGGAAAACCCTAGTTATAAGATCCCCGTGTAGAAACATTCATAAATCCAACCTATTGGAATTTCACCAACAGCCTCCGTCAGGGAATAGTTGTAGGAAAATACAAAACTATTGTTATAAATGAATTAGAAATTAAAGTATTTGTCAAAATTTTCCACTAATTATATTAGATTCATGCCATTTAAACATATCATTCATTCAGAATCAACAGACAAAATTCTATTTTTCAGCCACAGGCTTTAAAGTTGAAATGATTCACATTAATTGAACAGTACTTTTAGGTGATAACTGGTTCAGTGTATAATGGATTAAACCTTTATTAATAAGAAAGTGCTTCCTTAAGATCACACTTTCAATTTTGGTGAATTAAAAAAAAATTTTAATTTGTTTTATTCTCCATACATATTAGGAAAGTGATATGCAGTATTGTTTGTAATTTAAGAATAATGCACTGTCAGACAAGGGCAACACAATAATTTTAATTTTTCTAACTACAGGGATAAGTTAAATACATGTAATCATGTATTCTTGCAAGCCATTTTGATAGGGGAAAGGGGTTTTGCTCTGTGTATGAGCCATTTATTAGTAATATTTGTCCTGTTTCTGTCATATTTCTAGGTAGAGAAGTTACTCTATTATCTTAATAGATATATTATAATATTATGTAATTGACATTAAGTCAACTTTAAAAAGTACTATATTCCTGGCACATATAATAAAGTAGCTAGAAATATCCAGTTTATGATGTACAGGCTGCTCAGTTATACAGATTAGTTTGGTTGAAAAAGCAATAAATAATAGAATAGAGTTAAGAACTCCAAAAAATAGAATTAAAATATGATGAGAAGGATCATTTTCTGTTTTATTATAAACATTAAAAAGACGGCATATCAAGTATTATTATCAAGTATACTTTCAAGATCCCATTTGGAGTCATTGTTGGGAGTTACATATTACATGTGAGCACTATAAGCCTGGAGAGGTAATTTTCTTAAAAGCTAACCTATAATAATACAATTAACATGATTTATTCCCAAAGAAATCTTGCACGGTAAGTAAAGTAGGTTTTATCTAGTAGAGTGTTGCTTGAAACCAGCCAGAGTAAATTCATACATACTCCTGTTGAAATGAGAGGGGTTGCATGATCAGGATCTGCCATTTTTGTGATGGGACAATATTTTGTCTCCACATAATTTTTTCTTAACATATTGGCACATATAATTCTTCATCTTTAATATATATTATTTTGCTATAAAATAATCCAGTGTAAGCTAATATATATTAAATTTTGCTTAAGTTCTCATAACTTTACACATTTAAAAAACATCAATTGAATCAAAATTTTCTGTCTACTCATTATACAGAAGTATTAAATTTAGGAGGGATGGGGGGTCTCGAGTTATTTTCAAGGGGATTATTACTGTTTCCCAAGTAAATAGGTTAAAATTAGGGAGGTTGGTCGTGGGTCAGTTGAATGCGGCTTCCCCATTTTATGGAGTGACCGAAACCTATGGATTCCAAAGGTTTCGGCCATGTGGCGTTTGCGCCGAGCCATTCAACTGATGCTATAATTCATTGTGCTGCTGCTGCTTAAAACAAACTCATTTACTGTGAAAATGTGTGCTGCTTTCAACAAATTCATGAATTGGTCTGCTTTGCTTACTTGAAACAAACTCAGTTGCTGTGCAAAATGTGTACTGCTTTCAACAAATTTCATGCACAGTGCTTTGCTTGCTAAAATATCCTTTGTAACGTTCGCGGTTTGATAACCCGGAACGATAACTACAATATACATGTAAACTTGTAAAGTTTATTTAAAAAAACATGTACATAAAATAAAATTGTAAGGTTAATTATCGTTCGCGGTATACCCGGAACGGCCATTATTATGCTTATTATGCTTATTATATGTACATGTGAGATTATGCTTTCATGTTGCTTGCTGCTGCTGCTGCTGCTTGTTGTTATTTGGGGTCGCCCTTTTACGCTTGGCGACCCCCTGCTGCTTTAAATATGCCACGACCAACAAACGCCAATATCAAAATAAACGTGTATAAAATCATGTTTGTTTTCTTTTCCTCTATATAAATAATTTTTTATCATTGAAATCTGTATTGTATGTCATACAGTTCAGGACATTATTTACTGAACAGCCCTCGTATGTAGCAACTTATCAATATCTTGCATATGTCTTCCAGTTAATTCGATATGCAAGGATGTACATGTACACCACGTATGAACAATTTAAGAAAGGGGACAAGCTACTGACAAAAAAGTCGATAAATGCTTTATGAACTATATTCTGCAATGGTCAGCAAATATTTTTTTTCTTTTTTAAGATTTAAGTACTTACAAAGACAAGTCATCGATCAAAAAAGAGAGGTAAACTTACCCACGCACTTTGCCAGTTCATTGGAAGGTGGGTGAGGAAAAGATAACAATTTGCGAAAAATCCCCTCCAGTTGTCTGGACAGTAGGCCTCAACATATCTTATTCCTTAAAATGAACTAAAAGTATTAAAACACGATTTAAGTTTCATCTGAAAAGAAAATTCAATTCAAGAATTTCTGGAACTGAAAGTAATTCATCCAGATATAATTGTCCACTCCCCAGCATATAACTCTGATATAAAGAATAGTTTTATGATTCCAATGCACATTTACCTAAATATGTAGCTAGAGCCAGAGATATGATTGATATTCGGAAAATCATTCGTATCCCTTTTTTTTCTTTAGTATATACACTAGGTGCCCTTTAAAGATATGAGTAGAGGTCAGGTTCATGATGTCAAAGGTAAAATTATATATGACATTAATGCCCTTAAAAGATAAGTTTTTATTTTCAAACACCAAATCTTAAATCGGGGACTACTTCGAGAGTTGTTCGAAAGTTGGTGGACGGTCTCAATCTTCGTTATATTACTCAATAGAAATTTAAAATAAGCACAATATAATATGTAAAATATTTGTAAAGTTGAATGTGTAAAGTGTGATTCCATGAATTCCATTCGATATAGGAAACATCAATTAACTTCATTAATTTCTGCTGCTCCGTTAGGTTCTAAAACATCATTATTTTTTGTCTTTTTTCAATACGGACTGCCTATCTTCTCAAGTTGATTTCTTCTTCAACCAAGCAAAATATCAAGTCATAATTTGGCTTCTGATTCCGCTTCAGACAATTCTGAATTATTCTAGGCTGTTTTTCTTTGTTGTTTTTCATTTGACAGAGAGAATAACTACATACATTATTTAGTGTATTTGTTTGTAACTTACTAAATTCTGACCTGCTCCACGACCAGATTTGTGCATTTATTAAAATCCAGATAAGTTTTAAATAAATTGTGATATTTAAAAAAAATTACTCCAATAATTTGAATTTATTGTTAAATAGTTTTATCAAATTTAGATAACATATGACGTCAAATAAAAAAATATATGAGAGATGTCCACGAACTTTTCGTACAACCCTCGTAGTAGCTTTAATAAAAACATCTATTGTAAATACTGTAATCTCAACCATTCATTCAAAATTAATCATTTTATCTTATCATTGTTATTAATGATTATATATATATATATTTTTTTTTTAAATAAAAAAACGTGTATAACTGCAAATTTTGTAAAAAGTAAATTCATTTTGGAATTTCAAAAAATATTGTGTAGTAAATGAATCATAAAAGTTTAAGATAAATATGGAATATTTTGAGATTAAGGCATAAAAAATCTCTTTAAGACAACATCCCGTGATAACACATTAAATTAGATATTACAAAACTGTAGTTGGGATAGTTTAGTATTGAAACAAAACCTCATGATTACATCAATAAATAAGATTGAAGTTTGAAGAGTGTTCTTATCTCAATTAGTTACTTAGTCTAAGGCAGAGATAAATATTCTATCAAACATGTGATAATTTGACCTAAAGTACTTCAATCCTTAAACAGACGACCTTTCTGAGGACAATGCCATTTTATTTTCATTCCCTCTTACTGCTTATTGCTAGTATTCAAGGTAAGTAACGAGGACGTATAACATTCTGTATCATTTGTCTTTTTTAAAAGCTGGACTTATTTTTAATTGTGTAAATAGATGTTCTTAAATACTGAATATGTTATACGACTATACTGTTTATCATTTAATTTTGAAAAATTGAACTCTTAGATTTACTAACATGTACCTTGTTATTGGTTATTTACAAAATTGTTTTAAAAATTGTAAATAAAACATTTTAATGTATAAGTACAAAGACGTACTTCGAAGCTGATTTTAAAAATAATGCTGAAGTGTTTGATTACCAGTACCGAAGTTGTTTTTTGAGATAAAGTGTCTTCAAACAATTTATATCCATTGATACTTCCTGCTCCCCTTTATTCACAATCCTATTCTTTATTCACAAAATAAAAGGTATTGTTACAGAAACTTTCATATCATATAACATCTAGGCCCTTGCCTTCGGTTCGACTTTTGATTGGGCGAATATAAAAGGGGGCGAACTCAAATTACATCTCATAATTTCTTAAACAGAACTTAGATTAGGCGAATTTTAAACGGGGCAAAATTGTTCACAAGTTCAAAACGGCGAAAATAACACGGGGTGAAAATAACCCTGTAAACAGTAATTTTATGCTGAACGTGATGACTTCAACGTTTCGTTTTCCAATATTTCTTTTATATGGTCCATTATCACTTGCTTATTGTGTTTCTCTTCTTCACTTGCTTATTGTGTTTCTCTTCTTCACTTGCTTATTGTGTTTCTCTTCTTAGGTGAGTTGTTCGCAAGAGCATGCTCTAGATACAATTATTTTTAAAATAGGGCAAACTAATGAAATGTAAAATGAAGTTTGAAGAATATCAATAATCTCCTTTCAAAGTCAACACTTAGCAACAGTAATGGTTACAAGAACCTTTTCAGGATATACAGCCTATATATGTCCTTAAATAGATTGTCGATTGACATTTTCATACAAATCAATGAGCAATATTTATTCACACTGATTTTTTTTTTTATGGATTTTTCTGTTTGCCTGATTTGTACTAGCAGTAAACGGCAGGTGTTTCAGGTCATTTCGGGATGCTAACACTTCCATGATCCCATATAGCATTAAGAGTTTTAGACGCCCGTGAATGTTCTGATCCTAAGAGCTAAGTGCATTTTATGCATAATGTGGCCCTGTCCTTATAATGATTAAAGTGTCATACTCCTTCCATTTCATATATCAAAATAAAGAAGAAACTTAGTACTTACATTTCCTATGATTCATTTTTTTAGAATCTTTATATTGGAAATTAGTCTTTGAGAATATGTAATGTTTTTAAAATTTGACTCCTCAGCAAAGAATTTAAAATGAGCACAGCTCACGATCCAAAAAAAAATATGTTTCTTTTTCATCTTCCGAAACAGATATTTCATTTTGTGCTCTATATGAAATAGTAAAATAGTGAAATTAAATACTTCAAATTTAGGCCATTTTCAAAGGAATATAGAGAATATTGGGAAAATGATGCAATTTATGACATCATTATGGATTGACCAGACGGAAATTACTACAAAGTTTATGGTTACCAACAGCTCAAGAGATAAATACTGAATTTTCAACCATAACTGAGCAGTTTTAATTTTTAAGAAATTCTTAAGACCATAAAGGCCAGAAATGGCCATTGCTCTTTGTTTACTAGATTTTTTCAGCTTTACTTCCGTTCATGATCTTCATATTTCATTACAACAATTTGTTTTAATGTATTCCATTGAGTGAATCAATAAAATATGTCAAACCCGAAACAATTTTGTAAATCATATTGATGTTAAGATATTTTTTATTTACGATTATGCTCTATTATAACTTAAAGAAAGAAAACTCTCTCAAGACGTGTGTACATAACTAGGCCTACAACAATATAACCAACATGATAAAACAAACGTTTTGTTCTGGTTTCTTGATAGCATCCTAAATTATAACAAATAACAAGTAATGCAAAGCCTATACCAGTTCTGCACATTAATTGCAGCCATATGTATTTGAAATCCAATTTTTCTGCAAATTTTAGATTTTCACTTTCCTCAAACAGAAGAAAAAACAGCAATCCATTTTTTGTATTCGAAATATAGTGTCCTCATTTAGTGTATCCAGGTAAATATTTATTAATTGTATTTTACATTTACAGGTGTATTTACTTGTCAGAGTGGATGGGTGAGCTACAATTCCAGATGCTATCTATTTGTTTCAAATACAAAGTCCAACTGGAACGGTGCATTAGTAAGCAGTTGGTAATCTTTTTAGTGATTATTGAAATATTTGTAGTTTGTAAATGATCATTTGGTAATTATACATGGATTTTTGTGTGGATTTTTATTCAAGAACATTGTTATGAACAGTTCACTATAAAGCACAAAAGCTGAAAATTCCATCATAGATGTTACAGTAAGATGGAATATTTTGAAGTGCAAATTTATGCATAGCTAGTATATTCTGGGTAGTATATAACTGTAATATAATGATCCTCTTGAAGTATACATAAAAATATACGAAACTGATATTGTACATAAATGTAACATATCAAAAAGTATAGGTTAAATGTATGATCTTTGTGGTACGTGTTCTTTACTTCTGGGCTCTTTGTAGTGTTGTCACTGTATTATATGAAATATGACAAAATATTCATAAGGAAAGCTTTGATTTTATGAAAGTATTACTTACAGCAAGTTTGGAAAAAAAATATACGGAGGGATCTTTTTCGTGCCAGCACCAGTAGTGCTACACGGGACCTCGGTTTATACTAGCTGGATGTCTCATTCGAAGGACCGATCTCTACATCCCACAGTGGGATTCGAACCCATGACGTAAAACTCCAACGAACGTGGATTAAACAATAATAATTTAATTTCAGTTGTAACGATTCATTTGATTGGTTAAACAGTTTTATCCATTTTGTATAACATAACTTGCCTACGTCACAATGAGTTACATCGAAAAACGTATTGCTCCGCTTGACATTAACTTTCAAAATTTGCTATATTAGAAGCCTTTTACCGAAGGAAAAAAATGGAAAAATTGTCTCATTGTCTACATAGAAATTAAATTATAATGAATGAAGCTTATTTCAACTTCGCTTCGCGGTTTATAAAGCGTACACTGCCCCAAGTTATGTTATATCGTATAACAAAAGTTGAAATAAGCTTCATATCTTAAATTACGTTTATATTTTGTAGCAATACTGCTTTTCTAAGAATTCTACGATAACAGAGATTGAAGACATTGCAGAGGATCACTTTTTAACACAATTCATACGCCTCAATATCCACAATGGTAAGATACAGGATTTTGTTGCAGCCCGGAGGGCTGCTCTATACATATAAGTTTTAGTGTTGGTGTATGGGAATTGAGGTGGGAGAAGTTATTCAGAATTATTGGTTTTCTAAACATTAAAAAGATTATAATCAAAATGCTCTTTTCCTTTATGAATTTCGAGATACATAATATGTTTACTTCCATAAAGATAATCTGTAAAAATATATATGTTTTCCATATTTAATACATAAATTTGCTTATTATTTACCAACAAAGAAAAAATTAAATTCTTTTTTTTAGAACGTCGAATTTTACTTATCGCATGCATACAAACGTATTCGATACAGGTTTTGTTTTATATCCGTAAAATGAAATACATTTTGAATATAGGTGACACATGTGTCTGGTTTCAATTTATATTTTATGCATTCAACATTAATACTTAAGGACGCTC